TGGATATTCGCAAGGTGGAGATTTTCTCCTAAAGGGCAGGATATTCGCAAGGTGGAGATTTTTCTCCTAAGGGATTGGATATTCGCAAGGTGGAAATTTTCTCCTAAAAGGCTGGATATTCGCCAAGGTGGAGAATTGTTAGGTATGACACATAATACCAGAATTTGGAGTCTCTTGGAATGAAAAGATGTCTCTTAGAATTAAATGGGTGTGTCTCTTGGAATTTCGTGGGTTGAGATCAGCGTGAGCGCAGCAGAAGCATGGTGGCCCAACCCACATTGGTGCAAGTGTAACTCCCAGGTATTTTTTCTTCTAAGGGGCTGGATATTCGCCAAGGTGGAGATTTGTTATGGTATGGCTCATATACCATATAGGGACAGACGTTGGAACGAAGCGGAGCAGAGCAGAGCGAAGCGGAAGAATTTGTCCAAATCAGGAAGTTACGTTATGTGGGTTGGGGGTGTTGGGTCAACGTCCCGCTATACGGTACAAGGGTAATATGGTAATTACATATTGTACTGTAGGGTTTACTCTAGGATTATAAATAGACATGTTTGTAATTCTAGGTCTTTGTGAGATAGCTGAATCCCTGATTTCTATAAACCATTTTCTGATTATTGAAAGGGACTCGCCGCTCTGCTCCCGATGACGTAGGCATCTTTGTCGTACCTCGTTAAATCTCTGTGTTCTTTGTGTTCTTCTGGATTTTTCTGGATTTGTGTCGATTACTGTTTTTCTTCACCTTAATTTTCTCAACAATATGATTTCATGCACACATAAAATAACAACGTACCTAAAAACTAATGTTAAAATGTTAGATATATATATATATTTTTTAAATCCCGTAGAAAATTTTATTCCAATAAAGAAAATGTTATATGATTTGTAACTGACAGTTTCACGAAAAAAAAAAATTGTCTGTCACTAATTACAACTCACGCAAAAAAAAAAATCTAAAAAATCTTATCACATCGAATATAAGGAGTTTCTAAACAATCTCTACGAATAAGAATAGAAAACTCATGAGGTACTCAAATCGAGAATATGAAGTCTTGTTTTTCCAATCCACGCTTAGCAGCCCAATTTGCACATTGGTTTCCTTCGCGATACGTAAATAGTCAATGTTAAAATGTTAGATATTTAAATACATAGAAATTGAGTGGCATGCGTCTAAATTTTCCTATTATTTACAAATTATTTAGAAACATCAATTTAAATAAATATCTATTTTAGACTTCCTCCTCCAAATTACGTATTTTCTAATTCTCAAATAAGTTTTTTTAAAAAAAAAATTAATCGTTCATTAATTAGTTTCTCCATAAAATTTCATATTTTTTAAATTAATAAAAAACTTAAATTCAAATTTCTATAATCTAAAAATAACCATCGACAATCCCTAAACTTCGCCGGACTCCCATCCTCCCTCCCCCCTCTCCTCCCGTCCACAAATCCTCCTTCAGACCCGCACCCATTCTCCCTCCCCCTTTACCCTCTCCCTCTCTCTCTCTCTCTCCTCCTCCACCATTTTCCCTCTCTCCCCCACCGTCCAACCCTAATTCAGCCATGAAAAACAGCGCAAAAGCTCTCCAACCCATCAAATCACTGCATTCACCTCATCCAACCAAAACCTAACCGATCTCCCCGAAATAATCACAAACAATTAATGGCGACTTCGTCCTCCGTCCCGGCGACGAAATCCATCCCCAATCCCGGCGGCGCAGGATCCGTGTCCCAAGGTGGCCGTAAGGAGACCGGCGCAAGTTCCGGCCAGAGCGTAAAATTCGCCCATCGGACACCTAGCGGCCGCTACGTTAGCCTCTCCCGCGACGAAATCGAGCTCTCCGGCGATTACGTGAGCTTGAGCTTTAACATTCCGCCGACGCCCGATAACCAGCCCATGGCGGAGGCCGCGGATGCCGAATCCATGGCCGTGAAAGCCGAGGAACAGTACGTGTCCAATTCGCTTTTCACCGGCGGATTTAATAGCGTCACAAGGGCCCACCTCATGGACAAGGTCTGTTCATATTTTGATTCGGCTGAGGAATTTGTATTTTGATGAATTATATATTATATATTTTTCTCGTTAAAATTGAATTATTTAAAAAAAAATAACATAGTTTTTCTTGAATGAGATATAAATATTATTGAAAGGCGATATATTGATGAAATTCATGCAACTATAGCAATGGAAGATCAACACATGAAAACACACAAAAAAAGACACATTAAAATACACAAAATGTTGTGAGACATATCAGTTGTTGTGATATATGTATGAATCAAACAAGTTAATGAACGACGAAGCGAAAAAAAACAATGAGAAAATTCATACTAGAAAACAATAAAACAGCGGAACACACAGATTTACGTGGTTCGACAAATTGCCTATATCCATGGAGTTGTAGAGAATTTTACTACTGGAAGAATTTATATTAGTAGATCGTTTTGACTTACAAGAGGGATCTCTCACTTTATTTCTCTCTCTACACCGAGATACACCGAATAAATTTTATATCTAGATACACTTAAGAAAATAAACTTACGAGAGAAATAAACTCAATTTCTCTTCTGTCACAAGCCATCAAGAAGAAACAAAGGGAGAACAATCTTCTTATCCTTGTTTCTTCCTTCTGCCAAGCACGCACACACTACTTGCACTTTCCTTCATATTTCCCGAGAAAGTCCGAAGAAGAACATAAAAACGTGACTTAATCTGAAGGAGAACCATGCTCTCTTCATTTTTTTTCCTCTTCTGTTCACAACTTAAAAGATTCGAGGGGCGGGGTTGTTTCACGAACAGTAGGCGGGAGCAGCTCGAGTAACTGTAAGGTCGCGGTCGTGACCTTTCGCGATCGAAAGAGCAGGAGCGGGAATCTGGAGCGAGAGCGGGAAGCATCGGTTCGCGACTTAGCTTCGCGTGAGCGCGAGAGTAGACGGAAGAGATCGAGCACAAAAATGTATATAATTCACTAAATTATTTGATTTTATTTCTTCCTATTATCATCCTTTCAAATTGCTATGTTTGACTATAGAAAAATTACAATTCGAATACCTAAAAAAACAAATAAATTGATAACCTCTTATTAAAATAAATTAAAGCAACTTTTAACATTTATAAAATCTTTAAAATATTCTTGATAGAATGATCGTAAGTTTTAAATTATCAATCATCATATGAGAGAGAAATAGAAATAGAAATAGAGAGAGATAGAGAGAGAGAGAGAAGCTTGCTTAATTTATGAGGATCCTATTTATATATATAACAGCCAAGACCAACAAAGAAGCACTTCCACCCCCTCTTTTACCATTTACTATTTTTTGACCCTTTAACAAATTATTTATACCATATAAAAATCTAATTCCGTTTTTTGACAACATCGGACATGAAGGTGATCGACTCTGCGGTCACCCACCCTCAAATGGCCGGCTCCAAAAGCTCCTCCTCCTGCGCCATGCCCGCATGCGACGGCAAGCTCATGACCGACGATCGCGGCAACGACATCTACCCCTGCTGCTGCCGCTTCAAAATATGCGGCGAGTGCTACCTCGACGCCCTCAACGGCACCGGCAACTGCCCCGGCTGCAAAGAACCCTACCGCACAGCCGGGGAACACGGAGACACCACCCCCGCTCCGCCGCTACCATCCCCATCCAAAAATCTAGAACACAACTTCCCCGATAGAAGCAAATCGCTGCTCTTCCGCCGCCAAACAGGGGACGAAGCTGATTTTGATCAAAACAGATGGCTTTTCGAGACGCAGAGAACGTACGGGTACGGAAATGCGTTCTGGCCGAAGGGCGGGGAGGAGGAGGAGGATGAGGAAGATGGTGGGGGTGGGAAGGGGATGGGAGGGTGGGGAGAGGAGGGAATGCCGGAGATGAATGATAAGCCGTGGAAGCCGCTGACGAGGGTGGTTCCGATGCCGGCGGCGATAATTCAGCCGTATAGGTTGCTGATGGTGGTGAGATTCGCGGCATTGTTTTTCTTCCTGGGGTGGAGGATACAGCATCCGAATGAGGAAGCGATGTGGCTGTGGGGAATGTCGGTGGTTTGTGAGGTCTGGTTTGCTTTCTCATGGCTATTGGATCAGGCCCCCAAATTGCATCCCATTAACAGGCTCACGGATCTCTGGGTAACATCTTATTCAAAGTTATATTTTTATTTAATTTCAATAGATTAAGATTATCAAAATTCGTTATTTTGACATTATTTTATTAAAGTGATGTTTATTTAGAATTAATTAAAACGGTTTATTTCTTGTTTAATGTATTCATTGAACGATTTAGTATTTGATTTTCAATAAAAAGTCAAACTTTGAACGCATACTAACACAGGTACTGAAAGAGAAGTTCGAGACGGCGTCTCCGGCAAATCCGACTGGTCGCTCCGACCTGCCCGCAACAGACTTCTTCGTCTCCACCGCCGACCCGGACAAAGAACCTCCACTGGTCACGGCAAACACGATCCTCTCCATCCTCGCCGTCGACTACCCGATTGAAAAAATAGCCTGCTACGTCTCCGACGATGGCGGCGCTCTGCTCACCTTCGAGGCCATGGCAGAAGCGGCGAGCTTCGCAAATGTATGGGTGCCCTTCTGCCGCAAACATGACATCGAGCCTCGAAACCCGGACAGCTACTTCAACGTGAAGGGGGACCCAACGAAGAACAAGCGACGGTCGGATTTCGTTAAGGATAGGAGGAAGGTGAAGAGGGAGTACGATGAGTTCAAGGTCAGGATTAACAGATTGCCGGACGCAATTCGACGGAGATCCGAAGCGTTTAATGCGAGGGAGGAGATGAAGATTCTGAAGATTGTGAAGGAGACGGGGGATTTCGACCCGACCGAGCCCATCAAGATTCCGAAAGCCACGTGGATGGCTGATGGAACGCATTGGCCGGGGACTTGGACGGCGCCTGCTTCCGATCACACGAGAACTGACCACGCCGGCATCCTTCAGGTACCGTTTTTTTCTCTATTATATATATATGAAGTTGTGATTCAAATAGTAACAAGATTGAATTTTTACTCACAAGGTTGAATTTTTACTCGAATTCATTCCTCCATGGCAACACGCAGGTGATGCTTAAACCTCCGTCGAACGAGCCGCTGTACGGGCTCGCCGAAGAGGGGGACCTGAGGATGGACTTCAGCGACACCGACATCCGTCTCCCCATGCTGGTCTACGTCTCTCGGGAGAAACGTCCCGGCTACGACCACAACAAGAAAGCAGGAGCGATGAACGCCCTCGTTCGAGCCTCCGCCATCATGTCCAACGCCCCCTTCATCCTCAACCTCGACTGCGACCACTACATTTACAATTCCCGCGCCATCCGCGAAGGCATGTGCTTCATGATGGATCGCGGCGGCGAGAACATCTGCTACATCCAGTTCCCCCAACGCTTTGAAGGCATCGATCCCTCCGACCGCTACGCCAATCACAACACCGTCTTCTTCGACGGCAACATGCGCGCCCTCGACGGCATACAGGGCCCTGTTTATGTCGGCACTGGATGCCTCTTCCGCCGCTTTGCTCTCTACGGCTTCGATCCTCCTTCCATCACCGATTATACCCGCCGGACGATTCGCCCCTCTCCGGATCTCGATGATGCGGAGATGCAGCAGAGGCCTCTCACCGCCGCTGATTTCGACGATGACCTTGATCCCAATCTTCTTCCCAAGCGGTTCGGAAACTCTGCTGCACTCGCGGAATCCATTCCCATATCGGAGTTTCAGGGGAGGCCGCTTGCCGATCATCCGGCCGTCAAATATGGAAGACCTCCGGGCTCACTTGTTGTTCCCCGTACGCCGCTCTATCCGGCCACAGTGGTAGAGGCTATCTCCGTCATTTCTTGCTGGTAAGTAGAACTACTGATGTCTGTAATTTTTTCGGTAACATGAGCTGAAGAAGAACAGGGCTTATGAACTCGGATGAGCAGGTATGAAGATAAAACAGAGTGGGGAGATCGGGTGGGATGGATCTATGGCTCCGTGACGGAAGACGTGGTCACCGGCTACCGCATGCACAACCGCGGCTGGCACTCCGTCTATTGCATCACCAAGCGCGACGCATTCCGCGGATCTGCTCCGATCAACCTCACCGATCGCCTCCACCAAGTGCTCCGATGGGCCACCGGATCGGTCGAGATCTTCTTCTCCCGCAACAACGCTCTCATCGCCACCCGTCGCCTCAAGTTTCTCCAGCGCATCGCGTACCTCAACGTCGGCATCTACCCTTTCACCTCCGCCTTCCTCCTCATCTACTGTTTCCTCCCCGCCCTCTCCCTCTTCTCCGGCCAATTCATCGTCCAGACCCTAAATGCGACTTTCCTTATCTACCTCCTCACCATCTCCGTCTCACTCATCGGCCTTGCCATCCTCGAGGTCCGATGGTCCGGCGTTGGGCTTGAGGAGTGGTGGCGCAACGAGCAGTTCTGGCTTATTTCTGGAACCTCCGCGCATCTCTATGCGGTGGTTCAGGGACTTCTTAAGGTCATGGCTGGGATCGAGATTTCTTTCACGCTTACCTCCAAGTCGGCGGCGGAGGACAATGAAGATATATTCGCCGATCTTTACGTCGTCCGGTGGACCTCGCTGATGATCCCGCCGCTTACGATTATGATGGTGAACATCATCTCCATTGCATTCGCCTTCGCGAGAACCATTTACAGCGAGATCCCGCAATGGAGTAAGCTCATGGGCGGCTCGTTTTTCAGTTTCTGGGTGCTGGCGCATATGTACCCATTTGCCAAGGGATTGATGGGGAGAAGGGGGAAGACGCCGACAATTGTGTTTGTGTGGTCGGGGCTGATTGCGATAACCCTATCTTTGCTTTGGATTTCCATAAGCCCGCCCAAGGCCTCCGGCACGGTGGTCGCCGGCGGCGGCGGCGGCGGCGGATTCCACTTCCCCTGATCTGTGTAATAATTTGAGAATTTTGATCCTTCTTCTTCTTCTTCGATCGAAAGATTGAATTTTTAATTAGTTCATTTTTTATGGTTGGCGGGATAGATCGCATCTGCTTAATCCGAGTGCTGGAGGAGTATTTGTGGTGAATGGCGCCTTACAAAAGTTTGAGATTGAGGCTTTTAGATTGCTGATTTAGACACACTTGCAGAGAAAATTGGATTCAAGTGTATGTTTATTATTCTTTTGGTGTAATTTTTGTGGTGCTCTTTTTTTTTTTTTTTTTTTCTTTGTCCGTATTTAAACCATTTATGTATTTTTAATTTTTTTAAAATTGAAGAATCCTTCAATCTGTTCTCATCACTTTTATAGGATTTTATTTTAATGGCTAGATTCTTGCTTTATTTGTTCTCATCCTCTCTTCTCTTTTTGCTTTTCTATCTCTGTGGAGATACCATCAATGGAACCCTCTTCCCTGATTTTGGTGAGTTTGTTTTTGCCAATTTTTATTGCATTGTGAAGATTAAGAGTTTTACATATATATACTTTTGCGCTCGCTTCTATCAGTGTATATTTAGGGATTTCGATCTCTCTGTCGTAATTTCTTTGGAGTTCTCTATGTGATTTTGGTTTCTTTGCACTTTTTTTTTTGAAGTTTCTTATGTGTGGATTTTAACATCTCTATGATTTCGTGGTTTGAGTTGTTTGTGGATAGTTTAAAAGTAATATTATAATAATATTATATTTCATTGTATTTTTATTTGTTGTCTTAGTCAGTGTTAATTGAGGCACAACATTTTGTTGTAATATTTAGACTTGTGACCTTTTGAGAATATTTTAAATTTGTTTATGTTTTTACATATGAACTATTAATCATGGAATGATTATCTTTCAAATAGCACATGCATACAAGGGCAATGCGGCCTTTTGTTTCAAAACAGTTGCATAAGTCATAACTTTAGTAACAACAGCTTCTTGTTAGTATTTTCTCCTATAGCTACACGCATCAGCTTATTCAAACAACTGCAGCTACCCCAAACAGAACCTTAATTAGTTTATGAAGGAGTATGACTTTAGAAACAAAGCAGGAGCTACATTAGAAGAGATAACAAATGTTATTTCTTCTAATGTATAACAGTTTAAAATATATGCACACACTCAAAACACATCAAGATAAAGTAAAAAATATCACATATCATAATTCTTTTTATCATTGAGCCATTTAACCCTACTCGTATGATCCTACTCGACCTCGTTCTTAAAGCTAATGACTTATTCTATTCATAGTAGACATTATTTATATTTCTACTCGTCTTTATCTTGATCCTATTCAACATCGTCTCTATTCTTCTTCTTTGATCCTAATCAGTCTCGCTTATTCTTAGTTGGTATTATCTAATCTTGGAGTACATCTTGATGATGCTTCAAATGGTCATTCTTGTAACGGTTGTTTCTCTTTTTTTTCTTCTTCTATCTCTTCTCCAGTTGATGTGACCACAAGAACTCATGGTGCACGTAGAGTGGAGATCTATCAAAATTAGGTCCCAAATGAAATTGCAAATCCAAGTGCCCACACTCGGATGTAGTCCAATGTAAAGCATAAGATGCATCATCGTGTAATGTTAAAGGCCTTGCATATATGGAGGGACCTGAACAAATAAGAGATCTTTTCAGAGTAAAAGATCTTTTCAAATTTAAATATAGTTTTAATTAAAACATTATTAAATAAATAATTAAATTAAAAAATTATTTTAAATATAAATTAGTATCCAATGTAATTTTTTGTTAATTTAATTTCATTATCTAAATAATTTAGCACTAATTTTTTCTCTTTTACATAATTTTAGAAATTTAATTCTTAACTTAAAAATTTTCAATTATAATATCATTACATAAAAAATTTAATTAAAATTTCTTAATTTAAAATATTAGCCAATAATTAATATAAATTTATAATAATTTAATTAATTTTTCATATTCAAAATTTTTTTTATTTAAAACTTCTAATAAAATTATTAAATTAGTCATTTAATTAAAAATTTTCATTTTAAAAATAGGGTTGGCTCTGGGTCGGCTCGTTCGATATTGGCTCTTATTCAAGATCGGCTCGTGCTCGAGGGCTCATGAATGTTGTGTTTGTGTTCGGCTCGAATAATATTTTCTTGTTCTTGTTTAACTCGAGTTCAGCTCGAAATTGGAGAAGGAGATGACTCGGAAGAGGAAGAGAGCACTAAGCTCTCGGAAGATGACTCGGAAGGGAAGAGAAAGACAAACACAAACAGCAAACCCTATGTTTAACGCACAGAGAGAGAGAGAGAGAGAGAGAGAGAGAGCTTATTTTGTATGTTTAACCAATTATTGCTATAAATTATACCCGAGGAGTAGAATGTGGGAAGAAGAGAAAATATATCTAAATGTGAGAAATTAGAGTGTTTATATATACATATAATTTCAATAACCTCTATTACATTTAATACGCCTATATTTATAAAGGCTAGGAATAGTATGAAATTACAAGGATGGTCCTTGGTCAGTCGCTAGATCAGCACTCGGCCTCTGCTTCGATTGATTGTTGGTCAGCCGCTTGATTTATATCAACCTATATATACCTTTGTTTTATTCTCGTAGAGCATTGATGGGTGGCACGTGCTCCATTCTAAGATGTTCGATCCGCTGAGGATTTTGTCAGGGGTATTTTGTTTATACATTTTTTAGATCCTCAATTCTCTCATACATTAGTAGGTCAAGCTTGGACAAAAACTAGAGAATCAAATACAATGAGTAGTTATTTTATCATTAAATGACTCAAATGATTGACACTCATTCGATTTCCTTGTTATTGATTATTTTATTTTAGATAGGACGTAGGTTGCTTATTTGTTCTGCGAGAGCTCACAATGGATAAGGTAGTGAAATCCCAAACAGATATGTCGAATAAGAACTTGATTCGAGAGATACTCTCGGAAGTGAGAGGCAAGAAACATTGTGAGCGCGAGCCAACGAAAAAAGTAGTGGTAAAGAGAATGACAGACTTGCCTTTGAGTTAGGTGGGCTCTTTGGAGGTAGCCCCAAAATATGCAAAACCGTTTTTCGTGACTAATGTCCCATCTGCTCAACTCGTGGTCAGAACACCTTGCTTGTCAAAAACCAGGAACCTTCAATCAAGGGCCTAGCTCCTTTTGTACATGAGCATACTATTTCTAATTTGCTAAGGAGTTTAAGTATTCTGAGTGCATGACTAATTGGAGACTCCTCTTGTTTTACTCTTTATTTTTTTTTTCCTAACAAGGCTATTCAAATCAGCCAAACTCTGACAAAGCTCTGATCGTGTTGATAAGAGAGGAGAAATAAATGACAGAAGGAAACTGACGACTTGTCAATGAGGAAGGGGGATTCATTCGTCCCGAGGATATTCTAACTCCTTTATAGGCATGCAAGAACAGTGTCGATGTGATTTAAGCGGATCATGGGAGCTGGCTCGCCTTTTGGATGAGATCAAATGTTCCTCCACACATGAGGTTGGTATACCACAAAGTTCTGATATGAGCACAATGTCATCTTCTGTGGAAAAACTGGAAAAAGAGGTTACTCTGATGAAGCAGATGATGATCAGCCTTCACCGAGAACTCACAACTCTACATGAGAAGGTTCAAATATATCAAGTTCAAGTCGAGTGCAGCAGGTTGGGTTAGTTCAATTTTTTTTGGGGGATGGGATTTTTGCTTCAGTGGCTGCTTCACATGTGGTAGAGGTTGCATCAAACCCTTGTATAAGTTGTTTCTTTCCTTTAGATTGACGAAGATTGAAAGCTCATTCTAAGGATTTTATTTATTGATAAAATATTTTTTATTTTTGTGCTATTTCTTATCATTCAATTTGTGAGTTATTTATGATTTTTCACTTTTTTAGATGGTTAAAATTAGTTCCTACCCTAACAAAAGGGGATAGATGTAGTTCCTTTATCTTTTTTATTCCACAACTTCTAATATCTCCAGCTTGTGACATGGCTCGTCTTCCCTAAACCCCGATCGATTTTGTGGTTGTTGGCTTTTTCGATTCATTAGAGATGAACAAAAGTGGGCTACTAAGTCTTAGAAGAGCCATATCTTTAATAAGAATGAGCTTGTGAAATATAAGAACTATTTCTTGTGGGGTCTTTGATTTTCTCAGTGTAATATATGAGAACTATTAAGACGTTACCAAACAAACAACGTCTCGATATAGAAAATGATGAACTCATCACCGCCATGATGAACTTTGTGACCTTTATTTGTCGTATGGGAATTGTCTGGTCAGTGGGCTCTTTAACTATCTATTTGTTTTCCAAACATAACCCGATGGATTTATTCAATTCTTATCCATGGGTTGCTTTCATTTTCAGGGGTTGGAAGCTCATATTTTATTTCGCTCAGATAAAGGGAGGTTGATCAATTAGGACGATGTTGATTGGGGAGAGAATGTAGTAGGTGAAAAGGGGAAGACATTGAGGCGGATAAGATTGTCTGGAAGACGTTGTTTGTTTGGTAACATCTTAAGGTCAAACTGGTTGACAAGGTCTTAGCTCCTTGAGTTTACATTGAGATGAATGAGGCAAATTTGAAGTTTTTTTATGTAATGCAGCCAAATCAGAGAAGCGGGATATTTCTTTGGTTATTGAGACATGTAATGAAAAGCCTAATGACAACTCTCTAGGTACTCATCATGCACATTCAATTTCACATTCTTTCATTATCATCTAAAAGATGGGGACAACCAAGCCAATTTTTGTATAGTGTCGTATCAATGGTGATCGAGTGGAGTTGAACTAGCATTTTCTAGGTGATGAGTCTCTTGTTCTTCTTCTAGAGCTAGAGGAGCTCTTTCTGTGTTAAGCGCGGCAATTCTTCATAGATGATGGGACATTTCTGATGGTGTAGACGGTAACCTCTCCAGGTCTAGCACACCCCTGATAGTTTCCATCGCATGATCATTAACTTCATTGATTTGCTTCATTACAAATTTATGACTGTAATCCATGTATTTGCATTTTTTTGGTTCTTCTTCTTTAATTACTTCTCATCTTATTTGTGGCATGATCTACGCTCACCGCACCTTTTAGAGTCTTGAACCGAAATATGTCTGTAAATCACACCTAACGAATAAAGTGCATGAATGAGAAAGAAAAGAATATCAAGATGTCAGAAATTAGAGTGTTTTTTATATATCTAGTTTCAACAACTTAGTTTGACCATAAACTTGTTGAAATTAGGCACCTAGATGATATTGAATTTGAAACATTTCTTACTTAAAATTGCCTTGGGATTTGTGCTATGTGATAAAAGTTACTTGGGGACACATACAACACAATATAAAACATTGGCCATCCCCTCTTAAGTGCTCCCAGCATCGATCGCGCTTATCTACAAATGATCATCATGATCAAACTCAAAGGACTAAAATCAAAGCACCCACATTTGAGGAGGGTCATGATCCCAATACTCAATAGATTAAGTAGATATGATAAATTACTTTCTTGCTTAGCAGAAAATGGGGCTAAAATATCAAATTCATCAAAATAAAACTATTAAAATCAACAAAAAATGATATTAAGACAATATTAAAAGCATTTTAAGACAAGTGTTTCCACTTCTCCATAAGCTCTCTTGAATCATAAATAAATTTCTTAATCAAATACCGATTAATCAATCTGAGGAACTTGTAATGTAGATACAACATAAATTACAACATTAAGGAGAGCTAACTAACAGCATAAATTATAATTGAATTAAACTTCCATCTCCATTTGATTTTAAAGCATAAGAATTCATCACCCCACCATAGAAGATACTGTTAATGGTGGCTCAGCCGATTTATAGGCAAAATTCTCCATCATCAATTATCTTTAATCAATTTCAATAACTTGTACAAAAAGATGACTAACAATTAAAAACTATTTTAATTTAAAGGCATTTACACATACATCACCCAACTTCTATGTATTTACCAATCTAAACATCCAAATTTTTACTTTTTACACTTATACCACCTAATTCTTTAACATTAAAAGTAGTACAATTTAGGTGACATACATATATTGATAATTAGATATTAGATATGTGAAATACATACGAACTGGGTGATGCATTTAATTCCTCCATCCATAAGATTTCAAATACATTTATACAATCACAAGACATTCTATAAAAGCAAGTATAAAGATTATAGGACTTTTTTCTAAGAAATCAAACAATATTTAGGCTCATTCTTACATAATTAATACATGTAAATAAAGCACCAAACAAATATGCTTTTAAAATTTAAAAAAAAAAATGGATTAAGAAAACAATCTCACAAAAGCTCTTAAATTTCAGAGAATAAATAAAAACAAAAAAGGCCACCATCAACATTTGAAGGTGCTACAATTAGAACAAATTAGAACAACTAATTCAACTAAATTACTAACTGAACATCTAATAATAATTTAGGTATCCAGAGAAGAAGCTAGGAGGTTTTTACAATGTTGGTGCAAAGAAAGTCCTGATTCATCAGTTTTCTGTTTTGTCTCAACGGTCAACTCCCAGGTGTATGCTTTTTTGGGCTGTCCAATTTGTAAGGAACTCTAAGCATCAGGTAAAGCTCCAGCTCTCTGCAAAGTCCTTCTGGAGCAGTTTGCCAGACAGTCGCCCCAGATTATATTCTATAACCTAGGAAATAAACTTCAAATTTACAAAAAAAAAGGAAGATTTAGATACATACCACTCAATTCCTATGTATTTACTTATCTAATATCTAAAACTTTAATATTACATAATACTGCCTTACCTATTCATGAAAAGGTGCATTTCAGTTTTTAAAAGTAAAAAATAGTGATATTATTATGTGATTGAAAGATTTGGATTGCATAAACGTGGGACGTGTTGTTAGGTGTTAGATATGTAAATATATAGGAATTGAGTGTTGGCATAGATCAAAGAAATGGCAACAATCAAATATAAAAAACTTCATGAAATAAAATGTTAATAAATAAAATTTGGTGCTGGCATATCCGATCTCAATTTTTTCAAGTTGGATTTCAAAATTGTTTTCATTACATGAATAATCAATCAACATATGTATTTGATTCGTCTCAAATAATGAATGAATAATACATGTTGAACAAATTTTGATCAGAATAACCTCAAAATTTTTTTGTCGGTGTTAATTTCTATCAAACTCTAGGGAATCAAATTTTCAAAGACAATAAAGGTAGTTAAACTCACTAAAGAACAAATATAATCAGAAGTTAACATTGATTGCAACTTATATTATTAACTGAAAACCTTCCCCAAATAAAGATTTCAATTTCACATTTCAAACAACTGAAAATATCTCCACACCAAAACTTAAACTTTTGCATACATATCACCTCACCATGACATGAAAAGTGCATTTCACTTTCTAAAAGTTAAATTGGTAGTATTTTCAATGTGATATGAAAAATTTTGGTGATGTAAATGTAAGAAGTATAGGCGTTAGATATGTAAATACATTGGAATTGGGAGGTATGTATGTAAATGCCCAAAATAAAATCCTCACTTAAAACAAGTTTTCCATTTCCAAGCAAACAAAACGAAGCTTAAATTGAAAGCTTACCATTAAGCGCCAGCAAGATGGTGCCAAAATCTCTCCATTGTGGAGAAATGGAAAGATCTATCCGACCAACTATAAATCAACCTGCTCAAAAGGAGCCCGCACAAACAACTGGCCATGCAATGTAACCACAGCTGAAGTCTGATGAGGATCAATCCGTGAAGGTAATGTGATCACCTGCTCAGAAGTTCTCTTTTCACTAATGAAAAGGCAGCTATAAATCTGAATCAATGTACGAGGCAGACTCGAGCTTACTTTTTTAAAAGGTGTAACGCCCCAAGGGTTATCAGGCTGCTCAGGTTCACCCGATATGATCAAACGGCCTGCCGGGTCTGACTGAACATGAACCTGAAGACAAAAAAAATGAAATTGCTGGTTCTAACACGGCAAAGAATTGAATTAAGCGTGAAGTGTCAAAATAGTCCCCTGATAATTTACATGAGGTCATTTTAGTCGGAGAGAATCTACAAGTGTTAAATTAGTCTACAAATACATTTAACTAGGGCTAAAACAATCCTTCCCTAGAAGTATATTTAAGTTCATATTTTAAGAAAATGAAGAGTCAGTTCGTACTTTTGTAAAGCTTTGCGGCTAAAATGGCATCATGCAAATAGTTAGAAGATCATTTTGACAATTTTCTCATTGCATACTGCCAAAATAAATGAACTGGCGCATTCGCTCGTCAATCTACAAAAGAATCTAAGTGGCTTACAGAAGATGTCCCTATATTCTTTGGAAGCTTTAGAGTGAGTTAATTTTTTGTATCTAGAATAATGTCGACAATTGAAAAAGTAAAGTCCATTTGAACTATAGCCAGTCATATAAAAAGAATCCATACAATGGCTTTTAAGGAAATTGGAAAAGAAAAGGGCATTTTTTTACATTTATGCTACCAAAATCTTTCATATCATATTAAAAATATCACTAGTTTAACTTTTAAAAAGTGAAATAAATATTTTCATGCAAAGATAAAGGGGCATATATGTGAAAATTGAACTTTAGGAGCTTGATATGTAAATGCATAGAGTTAAGCGGGAGTGGTATGCATGTAAATCTTCAAAAAAATAAAAAAAAGAACTGTAAAGTATAGGTTTAACCTCTTCACGCAAAAGACCAGGAACTAAGGCATAGACTTCAAAGCAATCTTTCTGCAAAATAGCACATATTATTCGCGCATGAAAGCAAGGTAAGAAAACTAGATAAAGAATATATTAAGATATACTGCATCATAACAATGCACATGCATTGCATAGGTGCATAATTGAAAATTAAATGTGGATCCATACTTGACAAAACTAAAGTAAAACGATGAGGATTAGATTTAGAAAACACTAACCATTGTTCGCACATTTATTTTCACCCAATCAGCTGGAGATCCAACATCAACGACCATTAAATCCGCTCTGACAGTAAAAAATCACATTTTATCAACTGTAAGGTCAGTTGGCATCGCAACACTATAATCTGAATTACAACAAAATAAAAAATATAAGAAACACTGAAATTACAAGCTAAAACTTTGTTGCAACAGTATATAGTGGATACTAATGTTAAATTAAAATGGCATTTGTAAAAGTACTACGTTAAGCAATTAGATCTCAAACGCACAAGTACATGCATTTTGCAAAAAAAGGATGAGGTTGAGTGCAACAGTCCCTCCCCGTTGCCTCAAAGAAATGATATTTCTGATAAGCTGATGGTAGATATATTTCTGTTTGGAAAGTCTTCCACAGGATCCATCATTTTAAACGAAATGATTATATTGATGAAGTTATGTAACGTAGCAAATACATACATACATTGATAACATAACAAAAACAAAAAATTAAATTTGAATGTGGATGAATAAGATCTTAACTGTGGCTTGCCAAGTTTTGAATGTGCAACTTTAGCCGCCCTCTCCATGCTTGATGATTTTTTCCTCTTGAAAGCAGCTGAATTAGCCATATAAAAAGGATTAGCAGAGAGTAGACGAAAATAAAAAAGAAAAAAACCGCTCAAAATCCATACCAGTGGACTTGAGATTTTTCTCTCTCTTGATAAGAGAAATCGGAACCTTATCCTACAAAAGAAAACCATCAGTAAAACCACCTAAGCTGACAGCATCCAAAGATAAATATGACAAAGTAAGCTTAAATCCAGTTAAAATCTAAGAAAACCTTTATAACCGGATCCCCGACTTCACCATTACCAAGCATCCTTTGGGAGTGCCAGCCCTGCATGGCACGTGCTGCAGCATCCCTTCTGGCTCTTCCTGGGCCAGATGCTTGATTTCCACCACCCTAACAAGATATCATAAAAACCTCAAAGTGGGGAAAAACTATGATTATAAGGATAATTTCAGAAGTCCGCTCAAACAAAATCACAGAATGTCATTCTCACATAGAACACAAGTTAATAATGTCCATTTTTCTATACAAATCATGTAAAACAATATAAATGATGGCCATATCTCTATATAAATCATAAAAGCAAAAGTTTTACTCAAGGGAATCAAACTTACACCATACTATTCTAATATTTCAAAGTTTTATGCTCCAAAAAAAGCATTACTGAATTCTATTAGGCCTGCAATTTCAGAAATTATAGTGGAATATAATCATTTGAACATATTGTTTTTGTCAAGTTTCATGCCCATACAAACCTAAAAAATTTGTATTGTCTGTGCATACGTATTTATAAGACCAAGATACACAAATTCATCATAACTTCAAGGATGTATCCTATTATTCAAGATACAAGACTAGTATCTCATCAAAATAATGTCACTTAGAAAAGATCAAACACTTCTTTAGACATGGTAGTTTATTTTCCATGAGATAAAATATGTTTATTTCAACTAGAATTTCTCCGATATTTAGACTATAAATTGTTTAGATCAACGGTCTTGACTTCTTATGAGCTAAAGCACCCATAATTAATTGTCCTCTAATTCTTGGGAAAGCACTCTCAACAAATGATGGTTACTTGGGTTCAATTCTAGACTTAAATTTAAATTTTAACTAATTGATGGGGAATTTTTGGGAAAATCAAGACCTGATCATACCAACAATCCAAGAGATATTTAATAGGATCTCATGGTTTTATCATCCCAAGCATATCAACTATTCCAATCCACTAATGTCAAATAGTAAGACATAATATCCAAACCAACAATCAGGTCGATGCCACATATGCATCCATACAACCAGGGTGAATATTACGTGAATTTTAGTTTGCTTTGATTTTAGTTGATTAATGGGCTTATTAATATACCTAGTTCAATTAAAAATTGGGTTTGGGTTACCATCATTGAAAGATCTAAACTTGCTTGGGATGGGGCTTATTTCCATTGGAAGACTTTAGCAAGATTGGGACGGGACTTGTGTCTATATGAAGATCCAATTTCTAAATTTAGAATAAGAGGCAAGGCTTACATCTAGCTTTCTCGGATATTAAAATCAGCCACATAATGAATCTTGCAATCATGTCCTATAGGTAAAAAAAACGGATTACTTAAAGTTGAATTTGTTTTCGATTTAATACATTTTAGTGTGCAAATCAACGAGATGACTGACCAAGACCTTTAGATCGACTGGGATATAGCAAAAAAACCATATGTCCTCGGCTTATCTGCCTCATCAACTCGGACAATACTATTTGACTTTATGACTCTAAGGAAAATCATAAAAATTTAAGATTTAAAATATCATTTTAATAATGTTGCTGCTTTGTAGGGATACTACAAACATCTAGAGTAAGCCTATGGCCATTTGGAACAATTTCAATGTTCAAGATGCATTAGACATTGAACTCTTTCGTGTTTGGTTTCAATAAACTAATGAATGCATTTGAAGTTGTGTGAATTATTTACTTTTGTCACGTTAAAAATCCCGCTTTTAGTGATCTTTATAATAGATTAGATACTAAAGAGAATACAAAATATATGTATAACCTAGCCAAACAAAAAGAGTAGAAAAATAAATATTTAATTCAAGTAAAGTGTATTAAAGATGAAAATCAAAAAGTGTTTTTCTTAGAGAAATATATTCAACACAAGTGGGTGAGTTATTTTGATAAACTTTCAATGAAGTTTCTGAAAATATGATCGACCTTAGAAATTTTAATATCGTTAATAATAATAAAACATTTTATTTTTACCATCACAATAGCGAACGGAAGTTGAAGAGGCTTTAAAGAAAAACAAGAGTGGAAAATTAGTTGGACCTGATAATATCACAATTTAAGTGTGGAAATATTTAGAAGATTTGGAAGTTTCTTGGCTTACTAAACTCTTAAATATTATTTTAAAAACTAAAAAGATGCCCGAGGAATGGAGGAAGAGTATTTTGGTCTCCAATTTTACGAATAAAGGGATGCACAAGAGTGTGCAAACTATATGAGAAATAAGTTGATATGTCATGCTTTAAAATTACGGGAGAGGGTAATTGAACATAGGTTAAGATGTGATACAAAGATTTTTATATCAATTTAGATTTATGCGAGCAAGTCTACTATGGAAGTTATACATTTATTGAAAGCTTTGATGGAGAAGTACAAAGAGAATAAGCAGATCTACATATAATTTTTATTGAGTTAGAAAAAGCTTACGATAAGGTTCCAAGTGTAGTCATTTGGAGAGTTCTAGATAAGCAAGGTGTTGATATGACTAATATTTAAGTCATTAAAGATATGTATACTAGAGTTATTACTTGTGTTCGAACAGGAGGATTGACCAAGCATTTGACCAAGCATTTTTGACCAAGCATTTTCCTATATTAATTGAATTACATCATGGATCGGCTTTAAGCCCATGCCTTTTTGCGTTAGTTATGGATGTTCTTACTGGACATTAACAGGAAGATGTACCTTGGTGTATGTTTTTCGCTGATGATATCCTTCTTGTGGATAAGACTAGAGAAAGAGTTCAAAAAAAATTTTAATTATGAAGGTCTATATTGAAGTCTAAAGGCCTTCGTTCGAGTATATCTAAAACTGAATACATGTAATGTAATTTTAGAGGTAGTAACTTTAGTGGCAGAGTTGTAACTATTGGTGATCAAATCTTTAAAAGGAGTGATCGTTTTAGATATATCGGCTCTATATTTCAAAGTGATGCTGATATAAATGGGGATGTTATTAGTAGAATTCAGGTTGGTTGGTTGAAGTGGAGGAATGCATCAGAAATTATCGCTTAGATTGAAGAAAATTTTATAAGATGGTGATGAGACATGCAATGTTTTATGGCGTAGAATGTTAGCGTTAAGAAGAGAAGCAAAAAAATAAAGTTAAGTGTTGCTGAGATGAGAATGTTGAGGTGGCTGAGTGGCATGACACTTAAGAGACAAAATATGAAATAAATATATTTGTGATAGGGTGTACCTCTAGTGGCTAACAAGTTTAGAGAAAGTTGTTTTAGATGATTTTCTCCCATTAAACGCCGACAATCTAATGATCTTGTTAGGGGAGTAGATGTTTTAGATTCACCTTATGGTAGTCCTAAAAAGATTTGAACATAATGTATAAAAAATGATCTTAATCTACTAGAATTAAATGAAAATATGATACTCAAGAGGACACAATGGAGAAAAAGGATTCACCATTAGGAGGTTAGGTTAAATGCTCTGCATGCTTTCAAATATACATGCTTTTCGATGTGTACTCATGATTATGGATGTATTAACATGGATATTAGTGCCCTTACAACTAGAACAAGTTTCTTGTTTTTGAGAAAAAAAGTCAAGACAGACCATGAACTATTATAGAATCATTTTAGTCTTAGACATACATGTACTCAATTTAGTCCATTGACTCCTCAAATATGACCTAAGATAATCTCTCTATTGGATTATTTTGAATCATATTTAAGAGTCAAGGGACTATTTGTATCAAATTGAGTGTTCAAGGGGGTAAATTGGATATATTTGATAATCTTGGACTAAAATGACCCATTATAAATAGCCTTGGACCATTTTAACATTTTTTTTTGTTAACTTGAGTTATGCTCGTGATCGAGGATTTAATCTGTTAAAATTTATCACTAAACATTCAAAAATTCACATTAAGTTTCTTAATAAATTTTAAATTATTTGAAGCATATTTAAGTAAATTAATGTTAGATTATGGCAACATTCCCTATTTAAGAGATTTTTTAATGCTAAAAAGGCTATGAGACAAGTCCCTGACAACTACTATGAAACGTACCCTTAAAGATGCAGTATTAAGATGCAACGCAGCATTTGTCATTAAGACTCAAATAAATTGTTAGTTATAAAAGTCTAATCTACATTTATGTGGAGTAGCAAAAGAGCTAAAGAGTCCTAAAATGAGAGATGTGGAAGGTGAGATGGGGAAAAGACTGTGAGCATAAGATTTAATAGGAGGGTTGAATATTTTGCAATTTTGGGAGTAGCGGTGGATTTGGGTTGAGAGAATGTGAATTGGGGACAATGGGCATGTGTTGGTCGTATGAAGATTGGAAAGCAAATAAGTGCAAGATGATGTTCATACTTATAAAAGATTGATAGGAGCTGTGCAAGAGGGCTCTAACAAGAGGAAAGCTTCATGGATCGAGGTTCATGTTGGTCGAAAGGACAATAAAATGGAGGCTGATTGAAGGGTCAAAAGGGAAGTTGGGTTTTAGTAGAGAACACAAGGGATTGCAAGTAATGACAAATAGGCTACAAAGATGCAACTTGTTCGCATTAATTAAGGTGTGGATTGTGGGATTTGCGACGTGGAGGCTGGTTGTGGGCTGCAAGAGAGGCATGATGTCATTGTGATTATTTTAGGACATTAGCAGGTGAGAGATGTGGAGACGAGAACAAGCCAATAATTATGTGAAGAGTAATAAAGCAAAGAAGGATTGCATGAGCTCTCCACAATCTAAAAGTTGAATATTGATTATTGATTAACATATAAATAGAGAATAGTTTTTCAGTAGTAACCTGTTATATTTTATTTATGGTACACTTCCTGAGAGATCAATGACGAAAGGCAAGTTTGCATGCAATATGCAGTTCAATTTTAGAAAGGAGGGCCAATAAAAGGTCCAACCGACCACCGATTATATAATCCTGTTAAAATAACAGGGACTATACTAGTCACTAAGTAAATGTAATTAGAATTAGTAAAATTCTAAACAGTGAAAATTTGCCTGTCAAATTCTATTGATAGCAATCAACGGTATCAAAGACCACCACAGTGATAAGAACAGTATCTTTCTACTATAACAACCCCATAGTAAGTCTGGAAGAAATTCAATTTCTTGACCAACAGTCTGAGGCTCATCATTGGAGCCATAGCCAAACTATTTCAAGTGGTATGCAAGTCATTTTTCACCCACATACATCTCAAGTCTTGTACTTATACTTAATAATAAAAGGTTCACAGCCGAAAAAAAATAGGTAGTTCTAATATCCAATCAATAATATTAGAGACAAGATCAATTTAATATTCTGATTGATATGCATCAGAACTCTCTACAGATTTCCAAATAATTTGAGCAAAACCTTTTCCAGGAAGAAACGGACTTAGTCCCTTTTATATTGCTAGAAATAAGAAAGAAGACCAATACAGCAATATCTAATTGATAATTCTAGCAAATACAACATATGCTAAGAAAAGAAAGCAAGAAAATACAATAAATCCTCGAGTAATTCAAACCAGCAGTGATAATTTATGAAAACAATCAGCATTTGAAACAACAATAAAAAAAAAGAAATTCACCTGATTGTCCACAGTCGTAGGCTCTGGAAAGGAGGATATGGGTACATGAAGTTCACCTGTACGGACTTTATGTTTCTCATATTCAAGGAGGGCCTAAGAGGACATAGTGACAAAAGTAGATGAATGAAAAGATGATGCAAAAATAACCCCACACCAATATTCTCTAACTCAAAACATATTATATTGCATGTTGCAGAGTACAGCTAAATAATTAAATCTGCAGCATGACCAATCAACACCCCGTATATCAGTCACAAAAGAATGAAGTCTAATACAAGTAAAACCACCAAAATAGTATTTCCATAAAAAAAAGGTCCAAGACAGCAAGTTGGCTGAACAATGCATAAAACAAACAGCCATAAGTTTATGGATATAACAATCAAAGACAGCTTCAGGACAATGGCAACCATATATGTATGTGGGGAGGGGAGGAGGGAGGGAGGGAGGGAGGGAGAGATAAATACATGTATTACCAATAAATGCACATTTAGAAATATTATTTCAACACTCATTTGTCTTTGTGGATGTATGGACATAGAAGGAAAAAATATCATGACAACTCTACATAAAAAATATATAGTGTACAAAATTGCAAGCAAAATTAACACCACAAACAGAAACATTACAGGCTAAATTTCCTGTAAAATAGAAAAACATAGCATACACCTATACTCATCATTCAAATATTTTAAATAGGTTGTGCTTGCCATCATGGGTATCAAATCACCATTAAATGAAATTCAAATCAGAAAGCAGCAGGTGGCGTCTCCAAGATGAATCAAGAGAGTGCCTATGTATTGAAAGCATCATACATTGATATTCTTAAGTATTTTACTTCTAGGATCTATGAAAATCTATAATGCAAAAACATTTCTAAAAGGCCCCCACAGCCCTACTGTATGCCTTGCGCGCATAGGACTCCAGTATAACCAGTGGAAAATGTCAATTTGAACATCACATTTTTTGTTAAACTTAATAGTTATTAGATACTTAAACATGTTTCTTGACGCATTTACACTTGAGTCTTTCTAGTTCTTACCCTTATTCTTTTTACCAATATTTACTCTGTGAAATGGTTGCATAGCTTCCATCAGCAGAGACCCATACTCGCTAAGAGTTCAACTCTCTTTCCTTCCTCTTTGGATATCATTTCATTCATTCATGGGACCCTTACTGCCTACTTATAAATATGTGACCTATTGTAATAATTTTGTAAATAATTAGATTCCCTAATTTCATATTTTTCCATATTAGAAGCTTTCTTAGAATTGTTACAATTATATAAATTAAGGATACTCCAAAAGAGACTCTGAACAATTCGTATGTGGCCAATTTAGTCCTAATGTATTACATTTTTCCAATTTAGTCTCTCAACTGTACAAAATTGATCCGAGATAGTCACCCTCGGACAATAATAGAACCAAAATTGTATAGTCAAGGGATTAAAGTAGAAAGATTTTTTATCACCAATTCTATATGAGAGATTATTTTAGATCAATTTTGTATAATCGAGAAATTAAATTTAAAAAAAAATAACTAATCTTATAAGTTATGTATATGTCAAAATGAAACACACCAAAAAATCAATTGTCACCACTTCTTAATATTAATTTGAAGCCATAAGCCATTTCTCTTCCTTGTATTTCCATTATTGTAGTCTTCACCGCTGCATTACCAAAATCCTATGGCCATCATTGTTGCACTATCTTATTCTTATCATATTTTTCTATGGCTATAACCTTCATCGCTACATTGCTAGAAGCATTTCTTACGGTTGCAACTTTCATCGTTGCATTCTTGCATTCATTTTTATTTTATATTTTTTATTATGAAATGAATCAAAATGTTCCTCTTCAAGGAAAACAACAATACCCATAACCTTTTGTCTAGAGTTCTCTTGAAATAAATAGATGCAATCCATATCCAAATTCAAATTTGCAAAATATCCATTCAATATACCAATTGAAATAAAAAGAACTACCTAAAATGGTTGTAATTGGTTTGCAGGATCTTAAAGAGAATAAAAAAATTGAACCATTTATATGGTACAAAAAAACAATAGCTTGCTATAAGTGCCTTAGAAACATCTATAACAAGTACTTGTACTCTATCGTTACCAGGTATTATCTCATCTTCTCATGCCTACAGCTCAAAAACACCCATTTCAAGGTCCTAAATCATCAGTTCTAGAGTAACCGGCCATATGAGCACATTTTCTCACAATTTTTTTCCATTATGCATTATTCTAGCAGCAAGAAATTACCCATGGCCGATGATTTCTTGACATAAATGGCTGATCATGGAGGTATTCCTATAAATAAATCACTCGTACAATCAAATGTTCTTCATATATTTAAAATATTTGCCAGCTTACTATCCATTCAAAAGATAAATAAGGATTCTGAATTCATTGTTGTGTTTTGTTCTATAATGTCTTTCAAGGAATAAGGTGCGAGGAGGACAATTAGGAATGTTAAAGCAACTAATGATCTCTACCACCTTAAGGAACCAATGATTAAAAAAAATCCATACAACCGTCAATATTCCCTCTATTCTTCAAAACTAACAAAAAGAAAATGGATAACACCAATATTTTAGCCACGCCCTTTAATGTTTCCAAAACATGTTTCTATTATCATTCAAAGAACTAATATTGTAGAATTTCATTAAATTATTTGCGAACTAGCAACCATATAAATGTATGAACTTTCTGATGAGTGATGTAAGAAACCTTGTTCCTTCCTTTAATTTAGAGTGATATATCTAAGGAGCATCCTCAACACCTAACATCTTTGAGGATTGACAGTTTGGGTCCTTTATCGACGATTGCACTATTACATCATAGATCTTTCACCAAGAAAATCAAAAGAGGTAGTAGGTGTCATCTTTTCCACCTTTTTTTTAATAGAATCAAAAATAATTTTGTTTTGGAATTAAGAGTTGAATCCAACAATGTTAAACTTTACTTTAAACATTCTCTCCGTATACTACCAAGAAAAAAAAATAATATGAGTCTTCTTATGTGTATGCACTAATAATATAAAGTGGTAGAGCAAAAGATGATCACACAGTCTATACAGTCTATTTATTTTCAAAAAAACATCCCATAATAATATTAGAGGGGACCCTTTTTAATAGTCACCCACATCATAAATCAATTACCAATAAAATTCCTCGGGTTCTACAAATCCTAGAAAAATTCCACTATTATAATACCTCAAAAAACTGTCCCAAAAATAATTGGAAGTATGCCTTTGTTTATATTCATTCCCAAATAAAGAAATTTGATCCTCAAGAAATTTAATGTCTCTTCATTGGCCATTCTTCCAAACAAAAATGTGCAAATGCTACCATCTCTTCACAATAATGCTGTATTTATCTGATGATGTCACTTTCAAAAAAAAGATCACTACTTTGTTGTTGCTTAACCCAAGAATAAAATATCATTCACAAGTGAATTTTTCCTCCTAAATTTCCTTTCCTTACACCCTTATCCTAACAAACAAAACCATTCCAAAACCAATCACTCACGCACTAGCTAAATCTATACCAAAACCACCTTCTACTTGGTTACTTCTACAGTTCAAGATGAATATCTTCATGAAGGTGGTAGTTTAGTATTCCTAGGACTCTTTGCTTGTATGTTTTTAATATCTTCACTATAATTATTTAAAAAAAAAACATATTTTTCTCCTAAAAGCCCAACAAAACAAATCTTGAAGTAGGTCAATCATCTCTTTTCAAGAACAATTGGAACAATATTAAAATCCTTTCATTGTTTCAAATATTCTTTTCAAAAATTCCCTTAAACAAATCACCTCCATTATAGTACTTCTGGAAAAAATCACATTTATTCATGAATAATAATGAGATAATTCCAAGTCATTGTTCTATAAACCTCTCAGAAAACTTCTAAAGCATGAATGATAAATTCAATCTATATATAATTATGACCTCTTATAATTTTCTTTTGTTCTCACAATGATATTAAAATCTTTCTTTTAACGTTTGAGACTCTGTCAATCTTCACAATACAAATAAAAATTTCTTAACAAATTACCTTTATTCACATTCATTAAAGCAAAATAGCCATCACTTTTACCTGATTAATCAATAATTTACTTCATGAGTTTGTTCATGTGCTCTTCTATAAAATCACTACCTAAAACACTAATTTAGCAAATTTTCAAAAATTTATTAACCAGGTAGATGATTTGATTTTTGGGATTCAAATTGACAGCAATGCTGTAAGATAAAAAAATATATTTTTTAAATTTCATCTGCTGTCACGTGTACATATAAAAAATTACATGCATACATGCATGCATATATACATACATACATACAATGTTTACGATATGCCCACAAAATTATGATGTTACGTATACATATATGCATACATGCATCCAAGGGAGGGGGAGAGAGAGAGAGAGAGAGAGAGAGAGAGAGGGAGGGTGGGTGGGGGGGTTCGTCCTCCTAGGAGAAGAATCATCACTTTCCTCCAATTTAGCTCTTGTTGTAACAACCTCCAAATGCAAGATCAGAAATATTCAATCTCATTAACAATATTAAAACTAGTTGTGTATGATTTCAGAAAAGTTCGAGATTATTTGATCTTCAATTAAGTGAAACAAAATCTTCTCAAATGATGGCTCCAATAACATGAGATAAGTGTTGTTAATGAAATCCTTATTAGCGATTTACATATGCAAATGGACTAAGATGGATCATCCATCCATATGCATCCAAATTTTCCAAATGCATGGCTCCAATAGCATGAGATATGGGTCGTTGATGAAATCTTAATTAGTGATTGAAATGAATAAGGACTTCTAAGATGTTTCGCCCACCTGCCCGTACATACAAATATACATACTGAGTGGGCATTTCTCCTTCTAGGGCAATCCCTCAAATTTCTGAGTATAGCATTAAAAAAAAAAAAAATCAAGGGCATTTATTATGTTCAACATCATTTAAACTGGTGATGCCCAATGCCATGAATTTAAAGATATCTGACAATCCATCACATGCATTGACAATCTCTTAATGTATAGCATCCATCATGTGAGAAAATATTTTAAATTTGCAAAGGATATTCTCACAAATGATTTCAAATTTACTTCATGAATTGATATTTATATTTAAAGCATTTTTCAGAGTTTTGATTGGTGAAATGCAAGGATAAAGAGAGTTTCTAAGTAGGATTTTATTTTGACCATCCTTATATTTCAAATGCTCCGTGGATGCTCAAATGTTTATGAAAATAGCAAAGTGAATTCACAGGTGCTCTTGTATTAGAGCTGAAAATAAGCTGTATAATTTTATTTTTAAAAGATTAACAAAATTAAGAGGAAATAGTTGCATCTCTTTTTGCAAATATATACTATAAATATGCATGCATAAATTCTACAAATTTATATGTCCTACTTTATCAAAAGTTATCGAATCCACTGCCTATTGCATATTAATAAGAATATAATGTTAATAAAGTGACAAGGGATAGTATAAAAACTAATTTGTGTGCATGCAGCTGCAGGCTCCAGCAAAAAAATCATTACCTTCTCATAGAAACAACGAAATGACCAGGAGACAGTTGTACAAGTCCTAAAAAACAAAGAAAAAATATCAGGGACTTTGTGCTTAAACTTTGAAGTCCCAAGTGCTTAAAAATCACACTGGACTTCAAATTCAATTCATTCATGCTTCTATAAACTTTGAAGAGAACATTAATATCAAAACAAGATCATTAGAAGAACGCAATTAATCAATCGTGATTAGGGTAAACCTGAGAAAAAGTAACCAAGCCAAATCCAAATAAGATCTAACTGGCAAGAACTACCCAGTCCGACTAATTTATTGTCACTGATAGCATCCCTAGATAAACAACCTACATTTACGCCGTCGCGTGGCATACGAAACAAGCTCACGCATGCATTATGTAGTTAAGTTGTTATATCATACCTTTTTTTTTTTAAATACATATTAGAAGAACAATTTGCACGATAAATATTAATATGAATACAAATAGCCAACATAACCTAGGTTTAGCCCTAATTTTCATACAACTTGTCAATGTCGAGATGTTGAGATGTTTGCTTAGGGAGAATTCGGAAAAATTGTATAATCTCAATGTTGTATGTCCCCTCTCATTTTTTAATATTACTTTTATTTTTATTTGAGAGGTAAAATATGAAAGAAACTTCATGAAGACTATACATGTGAAAAAATAGTAAGAATTCTAGAATCTTCTAAGCCATCTCAACTTATTAAACTCAAAAAAAAAAAAAAGAACTCCTATGAAAAATGCCATATAGAAACTAAAGAGAAATTATTTTATATTTTCATTTATTTTCTATTTTTTTATTTTCTAGGTTCTGGGTCTCCCAAAGAAATGCTATTCCTAAGGTTAGTTACATCTTGTGTGATACCCAATAACACACTCAATAAGAAAAATTAACCTTGTGCTCCAAAATCATTCCTTCATAAAACCAGGTTAGTAGGCTCAACCACGACAAAGACAATTTTCAGATTTTTTTTTTACATGTAGGTATCTCTCAATTTGATCTATTTCCATTTAATCATATATTCTTCATCCCCAATAATTGTGTAATAAAAAAATTGTTATCGAATTGAATCATATCATGCTCCTGGTCAAACTCTATATATAAACAATTGAGTTAACTAAAATCCACACTGGTAGGTGATGTGAATAAAATTTGCAAGGATTGTACGGTGTTTTTACTACATTATTTGTGTCATTTTTATTTTTTTTGTGGCAACACTGAGTATGTCTGTGCAATATACAGGGGAACATTTTGGAGTAATTGGCACAAAATAGGCTAAGTCGACAATAAGCAACCTGGCGCCAGCCTCAGTGCCTGAGGTTACTAGATTTATGCCAAAATATAGAGAAGATATCTCAGAACAAAACCACGAGTGCCACCATGTCAGCGCCACCAAGCCCCCCATGTACATAGAGCAGTTTTTGTGGTTCTTCTTATAGTTTTGATGTGGCAAAGCAAATAAGGACTAGATTTCTTCAAGGGGGAGATTGGAAACATTTTGGGAAAAGACTAGCACCACATTTGGGAGAGGAAAGTGACTTTGGGAGATTTCTAGCGTGAGTGTGTGAGATATACTGGTTTTGTGTAAAAGAGAGTGAGGGTATGATTATATAAAGCAAATAAAAATATTTCAAAGGGAGAACAAATCTTGAGAGCAAGATTTCATTCATCTAATTTTTCAATTCCTTTTACTTTGTAGACTTAGTTTGAATTTATTAATGCAAAGTGTGTTTGTTTCAAATCATTAGTAGCACTTAATCTCTTTGCTATTTTGAATTGATCCTTTTTTAAAATCTAAGAAAATACATATTAGATTTTTTTAACTTATGAATGAAGAAAATGTTTTAACCTTCCAATCTTAATTTACATTCAAGCTGATTATTTGAATTGTTAAAATTAGTTGTACTCTAGGATCTTTGGAAAAAGACTAGAAACACAATTAGGTTAAAGCACACGAGTTTAGTGAAATAGGAATATTGTTAGTAAACTTTTGCAATCTTAAATGGAGAATGTAGATGCCTGAGAATTCTTGCAGGATTAAGAAAACCTAACTAAAATAAGGGATTCCAACATCTAATATAACTTAGAAGATAGTGGTAAGTAATATACACCAATTAACAAATACATAAAAAAAAAAAGTTGGAGGAACTTAAATTTTACTGAACCAATCCAAGGGAAATTTTCACATTATTAGGAAACTCTTTTCATTAACTTAGATATTTGATTCTGAATTTTGGATTTTAAACACCTTAAAAACCTCAAAATTTTGCAATATCTTTAGTTTAACATATAACTAGTAAACCAGTAATCAGACTGAATTGATAATTAACTCGTTCATCATGGGATCGATAATTGAACTCATAATTCATTTTACTACTTTATCGACACGTATACTTGTATAATAATGAGTATTTAACAATATTTTTGTATTAAATTATTGACGTCGTTGTCGATAAAAGACGTTAATTTTTAAATTAGGAGAATATTAGTTGAGAATTTAGGGCTTCGATATGAAAATTGTAGTATTCCTTTTATAGTGTTTGCATGCTCATTTTTGTTATTATTTAAAATTAAAAAAATTCAAAGATGTCGTGAATTATGTTTTGGTTATATTCTGCACTTTATTTGTTTTTTTTTTGTATTCATGTTACTAGGGTTCTATTTATTATTGTGAATTATTATATTAGGATTACTAATTAATCCTAAGTTGTATGTGTAGGATTGGATTTGTTGAACTATTATCATTTGATCCTGAAACATAAAAAACTGCTCTAAAACTTTGGAAAATTTTTAGAACTTAAAAAGACTTCAGAAGAAATGACAAATAACCAGGGAAACAATGATCAGCCTAGATCACTTAGAGACTTTGTCAATCCCATGGCAGATGAGATTCACCAGAGTATTAATAACCTTATCGTTAAAGTCAATACCTTTGAACTCAAACATGCAATTATCCATATTGTTCAAAATAATCAATTTGAAGATTCACCCAAAAAAGACTCAAACATACACATAGTCAGCCTTGTAAAATTGTGTGGGACCCTTAGTTATAATAGTGTCTCAAATAATACAGTTAGACTTAAGTTATCATTTTTCCATAGATATAGAGTTCAGATGTTACATACTCGTTAGCACCAGGGCCTATCACAGCTTAAAATGACTAAGCACAAAGATTTCTAGTAAAATAATTTCCACCTTCTAAAACTACTAAACTAAGGAATAATGTTACCTCTTTCACCCAGATTGATAGCGAATAAATTAATAAAGCCTGGGAGAGATTTAAAAATTTGTTCAGTAAATATCCACACCATGTCTTACTTTCTTGATTGATAATACAGACTGTTTATAACGGATCGGTGGGATCATTGAGATCGGTCATAGAAGTTGCAGTAAGGGGGTCTTTGCTACAAGACCTTTTGAGGCCCATTTGATTATAGAGAAAATGACTGCTAATAATTTTTAATGACCTTAAAAAGGAGTAACTTAGAAAAGTAACTGGCATTCATGAACAGAATGTTCCATCAATTTTGACTGCAAGGGTAGCTGCAATATCCAAAAAAGTTATATAATTTTGACTTAAATTTTGCACTAAGATCCCTAGTAATCAAAGAAAAAAATTATGGACGCTTAGTTGATCCTAGTGTTGTAGTTGTGGAGTCATTAAATACTATATATAATAGATCTACCAACCCTTATTCAAACACTTACAATTCTGATTGGAGGAATCACTCAAATTTTAATTATAATAAAAATAAACAAAATGCAAGAAACTAACAATGGGGTAGTAACCAACAAAACAATTTAGGCAACTGGAATAACTAATAAAATAATTTTAACCTGAGATAGACTTGCCCACCTAAATTCACTTCCAATAATCAATTAAAAGAAAAAAATTATCTTTAAAACAAATGGTGTTACAAATGAAAAACCAGATGCAAATTCAAGCTACGACCATTGGAAAAATTAAGAATCAATTATTATAATAAGCAAATTCACTAAGTAGCAAACTCTAATAGACGCTGCTAAGTAACACCGCAGAAAAATCTAAAGAGGAAAGGAGCAGTGCGAAGCTATTAAATTGAGAAGTGAAAAGGATTTAGAGGAGATAGCAAGGAAAGAGTTTGGTATAGAAAAGTTAGAGCCTAAAAAATTTAGTGAAAAACATTTCTCAAACTTTAAAAAAATACCCTCACCTCTTAGGAAAGAACAAGAGAAACCACCACAACATTTTCCCCAAAGACTTCAGACATAAGTTAGACCAACAGTTCTCCAATTTTTTAGAAGTGTTCAAAAACCTGACCATAAACATTCTATTTGCAAAAGATTTAGAACATATGCCTAATTATTTTTAAGTTTATGAAGAAAATCCTTAACAAGAAACAAAAATTAGGTGATTGAGATTGGCTTTCACTAAGAAATATAAGTCTATCTTGCAAAAGAAACTTACACAACTTAAGAATCTAGATAGTTTTATTATTATTGGCACCATAGGTGATAACTTCTTTGGAAAAAAAACTTGTGTGACTTAGGGCTAATTTGGGGTAGCTTTTTTGTTCGCGCTTTCTGCCATTTGAAAACAGCGGCGCGACAGCGTTCTCGAAAAATTTATGTAAAACGTGGACGCGAGTTCGACTCCGCGGCCCGCGTTTCTTTGCGTGCTTTTTATCCCGCGGCCTCGGCTCCCTCCCTCGCATTTCTTTTGTCTGTCTCACCCCGTGGCTCCCTCTCTCGCGATGCTTCTATCCTAGGTACCTCTCTCTCCTGGATCCGTGGCTCAGATGCTAGGCATTGTTTTCAACTGTCTCTTATTAGTTGCAAGAGGTTGTTCCAGGGACCATTACATACTTCTCCATCTCCTCTATTTTCTTCCGCTCAATTTGGTGATTTTGTGCACTCTGTGCTCTGTGTGGTGGTTCCCTTCCTTCGGTTGGTGATTATTGCGGTGAGCTTTCTATTCTATCTTTCCCTCTCCCTTCTCTTTTCGGCTTGGTTTGGTGGTTATGCACATTACGGGCCCTGTGGCGTATTCTCCTCTACATC